GTTCAAGTGAAATCTCCTTTTGTTTTGTTTCTTCTATTTTCAGTATTTTTTCGTTTTCAATCTGTTTTTGCCGATTTTCTCTTTCAAGTTTCCTTACTTCTCTCTCTTCATCTTCCTTTTCTTTTTGCTTTCTTTTTTCGTCCTTCCTTACTTCTCTCTCCTCATCTTCCTTTTCTTTTTGTTTTCTTTTTTCGTCCTCTTCCCGTTGTCTTTCTTCCTGCTCCCTTTGTATAACCCATTCTTTCAATTTATCACCTTCGTAGCCGTACGAGCGACCTTCCGCTTTCAGTTCCTCCGCCGTAATCATTATGCTAATTAGACTTGCCGGATCGTGTGTCTTTTCCCCCTGTTAGATACTAGCGGTTGGGCTGTGTAAATAGGCGGATGTGCTGGCACGTAAATATTTTCTTTGCACGTAGGCTTGTTGGCGATAAGTTAAACCTGTTAAATGTACCTGATCAGCCCTTATGCCAGTTGACCCTCTAATAAGTGAGTTGTAAAACGAACAGTTTAATTTGAAGGGGAAACGACCGAGCAAAGTGCAGAGGGGAGCAAGTGAAAAGAAAACAACTACTTTACCGAGAGAATCCTCCGCTGTCAGCAGCTTTAGGCGAGTCAGCAATGATGACAATAGTACATGATGTTAACACAGCAGATGTCCTGCAGAAAGCGATGACAGATTTAATAAAGATAACACAGTCAGTTCCTCTGTAAAAATAACAAAACTAGTGAATATTGCCTAGTTAAGTAAAATACAAATATGTGAAACAGCAAAATTTCAAATACGAGTGGCTAACTCGTGTCTAGTATTTAGTTTGACGAGCCCCCATGTTAACGGTAAAATTGTATATTTGTACCGTGATAGTAGTAAAATCTGTAAATTCAACCGGTAGGAGGGTCTGTGCCGCTTCTCTACCGGGAATATAGTACAACAGTTACTGATATTAAAATAATAACGCTAATAACCTAGAAGGTTATTAATAAATTTATTACAAACTTTGTTTTGCGTATGTGATGTCTTAATTATAAACTTTCATTACACATATAGAGTTTACATAACTTAATAACTTGAGACTTCCAACGCGTACACATGCGTTCGCCTTGTCTGTTAAAATAGCAGTTGTGAGTTGAATGATTGGTCCCCGACCTAGAACGCTGTAAATAGAAGGCATGGCCTACTAAATATTGCTAACATAAACAACATAACTAGAGTTACATGTGTAGGATAGAACAATGTTGTGGGATATAGTAATGAGAGGTACTCATTCAATACAACTCAAGTTGAGGGAAAATTACAACAATATAGATAATAGTAAAATTACATCAAATGCAGACAATAAAACATATGACACTTAAGGTCGATATTATAGATTTCTAGTTTTTTAAAATAATCAAATACCTTCTGTTAAGAAGCGATAACTCCTAATTTCTTGGACGCTTATACCCAGGGTGAGGGTTAGCGTGCAGGTGCGCTGAGCAAGGGCAGTGGTCGGGGTAGAAAGACCGAGTTAATCGGTTACCGGCCCTAATATCGCACCAGCGACGGGCCTGTCCCATAAGCCTTTTCGGCTTGGGATGAGTCACAATGTAGATCTAGCGACTGAACAGTCTAACGGGGGGGGGGGGGGGGGGGGGGAAGAAGAGGGAGGAAGACGCGGAGCACAGGGTGGCGGTAGAATCACATTACCGTCACACCAGAATCAAGTACTTAGGACGTATCTGAGTTGACTCAGATCTGATGGGTACCTGACTATGTTTAATAAAGGTCATAGAACCGACCACATTATTATTATCACTTCTTATGGGTCTTCAATGGTCACGGAAACAGGAAAACTCTTCTTTGAAGTATGCCCTACTTACTGTAAGGTCCGAAATGGTATTTCCACGTGCTTTATTTTTCTGTAAAATTATTATTGTAGTTCAAATTGAATTTCTCGACGAAGTTTAAACTTAGAAATCTTTTTATTTTTTAATAAGGGGTCATCCATAAATGACCTCACGCTTCCCCCTACCCTCCGTCACACATCTTCACAAAAATCAAGACCCCCCCCCCCCCTAAATGACGTCACAACCTCAGTCTACAACCCACCCCCCCCCCCCCCCCCCCTTAAAATTGCTGTAGAATTTTTCTTATAACATCGATATTTTTCCAAAATCTTGTCAGAACTAGATGTATGTCAACGGGAACAGGGCATTTCCACCCTGTCAATTACCCCCTGGATATTCCCCCCCCCGACATTACCCCCCCCCCCCCAGAGTAATTACCCCCCTGTCAATTACCCCCCCCCCCTGTCAATTACCCCCCGCCCAGTAGGACATTACCCCCCCCCCCCGGACAGGGTTAGAGTTAGGGTTAGAGCTAGGGTTAGGGTTAGGGTTAGGGCTAGGGTTAGGGTTAGGGTTAGGTTTCAGGGCTAGGGTTAGGTTTAGGGTTAGGGCTAGGTTTAGTGTTAGGGTTAGGGTTAGGTTTTAGGGCTAGGGTTAGGGTTAGGGCTAGGTTTAGGGCTAGGGTTAGGTTTTAGGGCTAGGGTTAGGGTTAGGGCTAGGGCTAGGGTTAGGATTAGGGTTAGGGTTAGGGCTAGGGTTAGAGTTAAGATTAGGGTTAGGGCTAGGGTTAGTGTTAGAGCTAGTTTTAGGGTTAGGGTTGTGTCTAGCTTTGGTTTTGGTTTTGTGTGAAGTTTTAGGCTAAGGTGGATTCTTAGGTTTTGGTCTTTTTCTTAAGGTTTGGATTAAAGTAGTATATAGGTATAAAATTCTAGTTAGAGTTAGGATTTTAACTTGAAAGGGGGGGGGGGGGTAATTCCCCGGGGGGGGGGGGGGATTGACAAGGGGGTAATTGACGGGGGGGGGGCGGACACTGTCGAAAGTATATATTTTCTATATAAATTCCATTTTGTTCGGGGGGGGGGGGGGCGGTGAAAGAGATGCCTAGAAGAAACTCTGCCTGGAAGAAACTCTGCCTGGAAGAAACTTTGTTCTTGTATTTGTTCTCTCTGAAATTGATTAAACCATCATAAAGAAGTCGCATCCCACCTTGCCGAGCTTTGACTTACGTTGGTATTGTTTTCTGTACTATTGTCATCGTGGATTCTGGGGCTAATCGCTTAAAGTTTGTCAATATTAGTGAATGAGGCTGACCAGGCGAAATTTTGTTTTTCTCTGGGTCACGAGTAAACTTTTCTTCGTCAGATTCTTGTATCTTACCTTGCATCAGAGTGGATGTACTTGAGAAAGTTGGCATTGGAGTAACTCAGCCTTTTAGAGCGGCAAATAGATTGCGGGGGTGAACATGTACAACACTATTTTAGTTAACGAGTAATATACTTGACGTGTAACTAACTAGTACCTACTTATAAAGTTCATGAAGTCTACATCGGTGTTAGAGCCAGAAAGTATTTTATTACCGGTTTACTAACAAACATTAGGGTACTCTTGTAAATTCCCTAAATCTGACATCCTCACCTACTTCTGTAATAAAGGTGATCCACCTCCTCCAAGCAAAAGTTTGAAATTAATCTGATTAATCCTGTCATAAATGAAGCTCTCGTTGTTCATGAAGCGCCGTAACTAGCATCCCTTTCTGATATTAGACACTTGCCCTAACCCCCCCCCCCCCCCCCCATAAACCTCTCGTACATAAAAACTACACTGGTATATTAATCCTTTGCTTTTTATTAAGCACCTGTCAGTGTCATCAAGCCATACATATCTTGCAACATATTACAGCTCAATTAGTTGTACAAGTCCATGTAGTACTTTCAAGCCTATTTACTAGTGATTGAGACATTGTCGCCTGTGCTGGTACCCTACATTTTTAAAAGCTTGTCAGTGGGATATATATACACTTTGCTACAGAGGCGTAGCGCGGGCGTGGAGTGCGAACTAGCGACGTCACTGCTTTGCTATACTTTAATGTATGTGTTAACTATATATATGAAGATTGATAATGTGCATAATTATTTTTTTTAACCTCCCAATACAGATGCATAAAAATATGCAATTTGCAATTCTCTTGAATTACTTTTACTAATACTAGTGTAAATCATAGTAAATGCTAGACATGTTTACTTCACTGTGAGATGAATGCCCTTCCCACTACAAGAAAATTACAGGTGCACAAACTGGCTACTTAAATTTATACTGTAACATGAAGCGATAGTTTACTTGTTTAACATTTTTATTCACATTAAAAGAATACTTTTGATGCTACAATTAAGTAATAGATCATATAGGTTACAAGTGGACAAGTAAGTAGATAGATAAATCAATATTATCAGATTTCAGTATGCTCAATAACTAGACAAAATGGAATCAATACATACAACCTCCACAATAAATAAAAATTTGATGGCAACAGACAATCTCTAATCCACATCTTAATCTAACAAGTTTTTAATATTATATGACTGTGTGTAACTAGACCTTAGTTTCACACACAAACATAAATATATGCATATATATATATATATATATATATAGAAACACATATTTATAAACAAATACTGCGTAGCAGAATATCTCTACATGAAAGCCAACCTAGTGAAAAAATTGAATTTGCACATTCAATCGCTAAGAAATTCAGCAATAGTATCCAACACCTGCACAAAGACTCCAACTGCCAGATTATCCACAAGTTAACCAGCCCTTTTTCAGTGAGTACAGAAATGTTATAAGTATAAGCTTTTCACCAATAAAGTACATCAGACCAAAAGGTTGAAATACAGTGGACCCTCACTTAGCTGGAGGTCTAGATATTGAGGATGCTATACTCTCACTCACATTGACAACAACATGCCCAATCCACGCTAAGCAAACTATGATGAACCTTCTTAATATAGGCTTAATGATCAACTGGAAAAAACAGAAGAGATAAGAATCAACAACAAACAGGAGTTCCACTTAGGATACAAGAAATGACTATTTTGGAGCAGGATCGCTTCACACATCTAGGATCTGTTGTAAGAAGATGGGGGAGCAGATGAGGACATCAAAAGACATCAGCAAAGTATCCAACATCCTCCGCACAATATGGATGTCAAGAGCTGTCTACAGTTTTCCAAATATGACTGTTGAACAGCAATGTAAAATTTGTTCTCCTCTATGGTTCTGAGACTTTCAATAATGAATGGCTGTGTAGCAAACTGAACATCAGGTGGGCTGAAAAAATAACCATCTGTGATGTTCTAACATCCATCTTGAAGAGACGCCTTAATCCTCAGGCTGGTAAATCCTGGGAAACAAAAAATACACATTCTGTAAGAAAATAAAGACAAAGGTTTAATCTTTAAAGAGACGCCCTCCACCAGTTGCTGTTATGGTGACATATTAAAACTGAAATATCTTGAGTGTGGAAATTGTACTAAAATAAAGATTGTCTACAAAGGTCTACCCTTTATTTCAAACATTTGTTTGACAATGTGGCTTTGGCAAACATGCTGACTGATATAGCACACATTTTGAATTAACAGTAAGATATCTGAGTTTTTTACATTTAGAATCAATAGTGTCCACATATTAGTTCATGTATGAAAATATCTTTTTTAGTTTAGTTCAACTCATATATAGCCCTACTAAATATTAAAATAAAATAGCATCAAAATTTTTTTTTAGTTACCAGTTATACTGTGATAGCACCTTCCAGCAAGATTTCACTGTTTTATTAATCCAGGTTCGCTGCAGACAAACAAAATGTTTTGGTTAACAAATTAATATTATATGTATCACATCACTTAAGTTTATTTAGCCTGCCGGTCCATGGGGCAAGTGCAGTAGAGATAAGCTGTTTCTGTGACTTCAGCATATGAAGGGATAGTGTGGTCAGCACTATGCCCAGTCTCCTTTACTTTTCCTAACGTGAGTTAGGTATCTATCAGAGCAGCTGGGTGAACTCAGGGAAGTTCTGCTGACTTGAATCCAGATTCAAACTTGAGACTTTGGGTTATACCGTCTTGCTCCATAGCTAAGCCACACCATCACCTTACATAATTTGCTTTAAATCAAATGTTTGCACCCCACTTCTCATTGGGAAGTACATTGCAGTACAGTTGGTGCTTGTTTAGTGTAACCTTAAATTCACAATGATAAATAAACAAATGATTTATAAAATATAACTATATACAAATAATAGTGTATGTGAGTAGCAGAACATTGGATAACTAACCTGATAGTCTCAAGTTCTAATAATGGGCTCTAGTAACTGGTTGGGAAAATAAAGGTGGCTGAGCATTGTATTAAACTTGACTACACTATCCCTTCCTATGCCAAAGTCAGAGAAACTCATGATCTCTCCATCTGTCCCATGGACCTGAAAGGAAGCTTACATGTACAAATAAAAAAAATTAACAAAATACAATCACAACAGTTCAGCTCTACATAATGGTTTTTAATTTATCATTCAGCTTTATTATTCAGTGTTACATTTTTTACTGTTATAATGCAATTAGTTTACCAACAAAAGTTTCACCTTTAATTAAATCAGATTGGAAATTCTTTCATATTTACAATCATACCTGGTTTGTTTCAACCTATCACAGCACTTGGTTTTATTTTTTACTGTAATCATAAACCCATAAGCACAAAACACCTGCAAAACAATGACAAGATCAGTTTACTTTATTATAGTACAGTATAAATGGTACTTAAAAGTGATACTAATAATATTACTAATATCTTAATTTAGTTTACACTCTTAAATGGAATACTTAAAATTTAGAATGTAGTATAGTCCTCCACCCCACAGAAGTCACATAAAGGGATCTGAACAATTAACTCTTAAAGTAACATACATGGTAGTACTCTAGCCACTTGAATACAGAGGGTTGTAAATCAGTTGATTGCAGTGTTCTAGAACATTGTTGGTATCTTTGTCCCTGTGTCTGTCTTATTCCTGTCTCCATGTTGAGAGAACCTGAAGATTAAAGTTTTGAAATTAGTAAAAATTTAAATAAAGTGCTTACGTCTAAGGCCCAATGGCATCGCTAGATCGGGTGTCACCCAAGTAACGAGGTTTATCTTTAGTCTGTTAATAATACAGTTGGAACTTGGATGTAGCAATGTTTTCTCTATAGTTAGTACTTTAGTACCTTTACGACATGGTATCACCCCCACCCTCTGGTAATAATTGTCAATTTGTACTTAAAAGACTATTTAACTTTAATTAATCATTAATGGGACTGGCAAAACAACATTTTTCTTCTGTATATTTTGCAATTTTTTGCCTTGGTGTCACCCCCTTAAATAGTGTCATCTGGTGCAGTCTGCACCCCCCCCCCCCCCACCCGTGCTATGCTAGCTAAGGCAAGGGTTATCAATAAAAATGTTATAAATAAAAAAAAAATATTAATAAATTAGAAATTAATTATTAATAATGTAATATTAATTATTATAATTCATTAGGCCTATTATTAAATTAATTAATAATAAAATACGCTCAACTGGAGGTGAACGTGAAATAAAATACGTTAAAATAGAGATGTAGATGTAGATCTAATTATTGTGTAATTTACTAATCAGTGCCAAGATCTATTTTATTTTCTACAAAAAGATCTAGAGATCTAGATATTTCCCACCAAATCAATTAATTATGTTTTCTGTTGGATCTAGTTTCGGTATCGTAAATTATTTAAGTAAAATAAACAACGATCTTAGCTGTTCGACTACTTAAAAATATTTCAGCGGGATTTTCGACAGTACGGCCAAGTTTAAAATATCTGTACTTTCGTTTCGACACTACGGGCTAATCCCAAAAGCAATACATCATTATTACTCCCCTTTTACAAAAAAATCTTCTATCGCAGTTGCCTGTGTCTGATGAAGAGAATTTATTAAATATTATTAAATATATCGAAAACAAAATAATATTGTGAATATGTTAAGAAATATATTGTCAGTTCAAATACTGGAGTTACTACTAGTAAACATGTATAGGCCCTGCTTCCAATGCTTTTAGGTTTACTTAATTACTTTAATAACATTTCTTTTGTACTTTTATGGTACATGAACAGCGTTACAATTTCTTTAACGCTATTTTATAATTATCAATATAGATCTATATGTATTATCACTAATTGTAGCAGCAGATGGTTGGAAAAAAATATAGTTGCCAATGGTATTTTTTTTAATATAGGCCCTACACAGATCTTAAACTATTAGAAAGATAAAAGGCGAAATTATAGTTTCCGTAATAAAACAGGAATTTAACTCTTTAATGCACAGTCAAACAAAATGGCTACTATGACTAGCAGTTTCAACAACGGTCCTGGAATGTTAGGCAGCGGCTTAGAATGGATGAATACAGAAGTATCTACAGGTGTAAGTATGAGTTTAAATAAATCCCATATAGATCTATGCGCTTATCCACTGAATCATTAAAGAAACTTTATTGTTAATTAACAAATTGAATTGCTCATAGTTTTAACAGAAACAAACATCCACCAATTTTCGATAGTCTGAGTTTGCAGCATTTGTTTTTAGTTGGTGTTTCACAAATTTAAATTGAGGGTAATTATTAGGCCTAATTGTCATATTAGATTTAGATCTAAGTTTGTTTTAATTTAACTTTGCAAAGTCTATTATAGTATTATTAGTATGTAGCAATTAAATTGCAGTTAGATCTCTAACCACAAATTTATGGCCCAAACTGATTGTTTTTGTCTTGCCGACTCTAGCCGAAGCAATATTTAGGTTTTTCGACTTCCGCTGTTTCGATTCGGTACGACCACATCCTGACTTTTTCATCGTACTTGTTGAAATTCGACATTTTTTAACATGTTAATTCTCGCCATCGGAATCGAAGAATAAAATGTATTCGATATGAATATTTGAGTTGAATTTCATCTTTTATACATACTAATAAATGAATTAGCTCCCGTTTTACATTGTCCGATACCAAAAGCGATCACCGATAATAGCAAATATTTGTCGAAATGCCGACGCTACCGAACTGGCGCATTGACAACTAAATTTCAGATATAAATAATCCTCTAAATTGTATGAAAATAGGCTTAAATAGCATGCCAACCATTTGGATAAATAGAAATGTCGATTTGAAGGGTTTTCAAGCACAGGCCAATGAGGAGTAGCGCGATAAAACCCGTACGGGTAGGAACGAGAAAGCGTGCGTAATTTCATAATGGCGGCCGGGTTACGAGATATTAATAGATATGCGCATACGATGTTTTTTAATAGCTGTTTGTTTTTAAATGGACTGTTACAATAAAATGGGCTTTAAAATAAATTTACTGTAGATCTAAATTATTAGATTAAAAATGAGAAGAATGTAATTAGGCCTAATTGCTGCCTAAATAAATTATAAAATTTTAAATTAGCCAGATTTTATTAACCTTCTTAATACCAGGTTAACTAGATCTAGCAAACTAGCATTAACGAATTGCAGATAAATAGTAATAGATTATAAAGGCATTTTCAAGTAGAAAAAAATCTATATTTATTGTAAACAATTTTTAAAAAAATAGAATCTAGATCTAGATCTAAATGGAAATAAAAACAATAAAATAATAATGGGTCTAGAGATGTGTAACAATATATATAGGCCTATATATAAACTATTAGGCCTTAATGTAAATACTGACAGGCCTATCTGTAGTATCTAGATCTATAAAGTACTATACTATAAAGGGCCTAAATTAAAAATAATAATACCCAATTTTATAAGCTGCACTGCATTACAGTTTTAGTTATAGGCAACTATAATAGAAAGAAAACATGAACACTTTATTAATTAATGTCATTTAAGAATTTATCAAAGGATACGACACAAATCCAATGTTTATTGCAAATTGTTAAGTATCTTGATCATATTGTTCTGTATTTGACTTGTAAGTTCTAAATCTATACATTACCTGTACAATATGTATACTAGCATTCTTATTACTAACACCAGAATCAATATGTAAAGTTTAATCTTTATTTTTATAGTAGCAACAAAGAAGTGCAACATATTAGCCTGTAGTTAATCAACATAGTCTAATTGCGCTGTACCATATTCAAGTTCACTATTTAAAGTTTTCCTCTAGCTATGTTTATTTTACTTGCATGATTGTATTTTTTACATGCTCTAGTCCTAATATATAAAGTTTCATGATGGTATATGGAATAGCAACCTAGCTGTGCAGTCTGGAAATCCTCTTATGGCAGTCACTATAGAACAGTGCCACACCCCTTAATTTAACTTCATTATTTCTAGTTACCTCTTTTCTAATTTTTATTTTATTTGTAGACTTCTATTGCCTATATCATTGAGTACAAATGTGCAAAGTTTTATCATTATATCATTAATAGCAACATTGGTATGCAAGTTTAAAGCCAATCACACGTCTCGAATGCAGGTTACAATGAAACATAACAAGTTAAACACATAACTTTGAAAATTCATATAAAAAAAAACTATTAAGCCTAGAATGATAAATTTGATATTTTTATCAATGGGTATATTATAGGATTCATCTGGGTCCATTTTATCATTCTATGATAATTAGGAAAAATTTCCCAATAGGCCTACAATATTCAATGTAGAAATATCTTTCCACTAATCAGGTCTAACTGCAACTAACCCTAACAACAGGTGGCTAACAACTAACAATTTTTGGACCAACATGACATTTTCAATTATTTCCTGTAACTCCAGTAAGGAGGCGGGCAATCTTCACTGTGATAAATAAAAACACTGTCTCTCAGTATCCCTTTATTAAGTAATAAGCTAGGCTACATATAAATAAATGCTCTTATATTCAATGCCGTAAAAATTTGACTTTTTTTATTAAGAAATCCAATTTATTCTTGTTAGTCACATATCAGTCTCTGCATTAATTAAAAAAAAATGAACAGCCACTCTAATTTTGAATCCTGCGGGTCCCCACTCAGTGCTAACCCAAGAAATATCAAGTTTCTGCATGGAAGGTATTTCCTTCCACCTAGCCTTGTATCCTATACACATATGCAACTGGGAGGTTTTGGTTTGGGAGGTTCTTTAAGGGTTGTGGGTTCAATCCCAATTGGGAATGGGTTATCTTTTATTATTTTTTGTTCACTTATTAGCTGTCATAAAAAAAAAGTTGAAGTATAGCTGTCTATTAGATGAGTGCCTAATTCTTTCCCATGTTCTGATTTTAATTTTTCATTTTAGCCTATTTTAAAAGATTTAATGTCATGCAAGTGGGCCTTGTAAATTTTCTTTTACCAGCAACAAATTTGTCTAACTGAAAGTTTTTATATTTTACTCAAGTTTAAGCAGCACCAGAAAATATTTTACAAACGTTTCTAAAAATTACAAAATATTAATTGTGACTATCACTAACATATATAGGTCCATTAAATTGTTGATCTGCAGTTCATGGGACATTCTGAAAAGATGAGTAACAAATATCAACAGAGTATAAGGAAGAGAGGGTCTATGTTGATTTGCCATACTTTTATATACAAGAAATCAGCAGTAACATTATTCTTCAGCCATGGTTAGATTTGAACTAGATTTATAAAGTTAAAACATACAGAAAACTAGTTTAACCCATAAGTTTATTCTCCGAATTCTCCTTTAAGCAGAAGCCTTGTGATTGACTTTAAAATTGTCTTAATAGTAAATTAGTTATTAATAGTAATGTATTCAGTCTAGTTTAATGGTGCACAATTTTTGATCGACCGCTATATAAGCAATTTTTTTTCCACCTGGGATAGAGTTCTGGCTAATCCAAATACTCTGTAAAAAACATTTTATTTGTTTTGTTGTAATATTTATTGCACTTTGTACTCTATACAAAAGATTTTTTTTTTCAGTTAATGAGGTCATGATAAAGTCAATAAAATAAGATTAAAATTTAAAAATACCAGTGCAAAGAAAAATGTAAAACATTCTTCTTAAATGTTTTACAAAATTTCTGTTTATTAAGTCGTATTCAGCACAAGTGTATTTGTAATTTGTAAGTTTAAATAATGCTACAAATTTTGTACTCACTTCCAGACCACCATTATGGCCACTGAATTTGATGGTGGAGTTATTGTGGGTGCTGACTCCAGAACTACTACAGGGTAAAAAAAATTGAATGCAATAACCAATAGATTTTTTTCTAGCATATAGACTACTCCTAATATAAGGAAAGTTGCACATTTTTTATGCATTCTCTTTTTTTTTTTTTTTTTTTTTTGTACAGAATAATTCTTGCTTTCATTAAACATACACTTACTGTGATTTAGAGGAGAATATTGATGAGTTGAGTAGGAAGTAACATTGTTTTCTTACTGTACAATTTTTTTGTTATAGAACATATATTGCAAATCGTGTCACTGACAAGTTGACCAAAGTGACAGACTTCATCTACTGTTGTCGTTCTGGCTCGGCCGCTGACACTCAAGCTATAGCTGACATTGTAAAGTACCACATTGAATTTCACAGGTAGGTTTCATGTGGGAACCAAGTCAGTTTAGTTGGAGAAGTGGTGGAGTTGAAAACTTTCAGGTTATAGAGGGCTGGTGTTGAAAACCTACAGGTTATAGAGGGCTGCAGTGAAGGCTGCATGTTATGAAGGGATGGAGCTGAGCCTGCAAGTAATTTTTCATTGGAGCTACAGGTTGTTTAGAGGGATGGAACTGATCTTGCAAGTTATTTGGTTGTGGGCTGAAATAAACCTACAGGTTATTTGGTTGTGGGGTGGAATAAACCTACAGGTTATTTGGTTGTGGGGTGGAATAAACCTACAGGTTATTTGGTTGTGGGGTGGAATAAATGTACAGGTTATTTGGTTGTGGGGTGGAATAAACCTACAGGTTATTTGGTTGTGGGGTGGAATAAACCTACAGGTTATTTGGTTGTGGGGTGGAATAAACCTACAGGTTATTTGGTTGTGGGGTGGAATAAACATACAGGTTATTTGGTTGTGGGGTGGAATAAACCTACAGGTAATTTAATTATGGGATGGAGCTGATTTTGGTGGGATGGTGCTGTTACAAATATATTGTTTTTTTGCATGTGCAAATCATATTATGTTTTGTTGATGATCTTTACTCTGATAACTTAAATCCAACACTGTGACAGCAATGTGTTCATTATGTTGGTACATTTAACACTTTTTTTCCTTTTACGTACCCAACTGAATATGTCAATGTGGTTTCTTTTTTCTGACTGCATATGCCACATTTTCTTTTACATTCCTTATTTAAGGAACATGTTTTGTGACTTATCATATCCCCTGTTTTTTCCCTCTGTGATGACAGAATGGAGACAGGAGAGGAACCCCTAGTGAAAACAGTGGCCAATATATTCAAGCAGCTGTGTTATGACCACAGGGACCAGCTCTCTGCTGGCATCATTGTGGCAGGCTGGGACAGACGGGAGGGGGGACAGGTAGGCTTAGACTTTTCTCTTTGAGAACAAAATGGAACTAAGTGAGCTCATGACAATTTCTCATTTCAAAGTAATGAACAATTAATTTGGTTGTTTTAATTTTTCATAAAATATCTTGTTAGTGTACTGAATAAAAAAAAAAATTAAATTGATTTACTTGAATTTTTAGTTTATAAAATTGTTTATATTAATATTTATTCTAAGTGGTCTAAAGTGTGATTTCCTAGTTTCAATTCCTGTTTTAAAAAGTTTAAAAAAAATATCTCTCCTCTTCTCTTAATCTTGTCTGAGATTTCATTAAAAAATATAGTTGTGAACATATATTTGTTGTCTCCCTTACACCAAACCAAATCTGTTGCCAATTAAATTTTAACATATGTATTGTGGTATTTTCATTCATCCTCTAGGTGTACTCTATCCCCATTGGTGGAATGTTACATAAAATGCCATTCACCATTGGAGGTTCAGGCAGCACATATCTCTATGGTTACGTTGATGCTAACTATAAACCAAAACTCAAGAAGGAAGATGCATTAAAATTTGTTGCCAATTGTAAGTCATTTTGATTTATAATTTATCCTCATGGTCATTCCACATTTGAGAAAGTAGTTTTTTAAGCTGAGGCAGGTAAAACTATTTTCTATAAGTCAATCTTTCTGCTTTACTGTTTTTCCAACAGCTACTTTTTTTAAAACAAATTATTTGCTATTAATAGTTTTGTTAACTTTTTGCATAGCCATAGCCCAAGCTAGCCCTCCCCTGTTTCCCTTAGTGAGGACTTTGATGTGGCTGCTTTGTTACCACACCCTCTTGTTCACACTGTTTCAATTTAATTTCTTGCTGAATCATTAAAATGGTTGTTTTTAAGAGCTGATTTTTTTTCTTCGATAAAAAAAACTTTAGTCTTAGCTAAACCCTTAAAAGGCTTTTTAAGATACTAGTTTAATTTAGAATAATAACATTAAACAAACTTATTTTTTATTAGCACATTTGTTAGGAACTATTTGTTTTTTATTTAAACTTATGTTTATATAAATTTCTTGAAGTGTAAAAATTTCACATTCTTGGGGAAATTCAGCAATTGAGTAATAGTAAATGTTTTCACAGTTTTCTAGCACAGTTAACCCCCTTTCAACCATGAAATAAAATTCTCAATTAGAGTGAACTTGAAAAAAATCTCTTTAAAATCTGTATTGTTTCTGATATATGAGAAGAGAAACAAATATTTTAATTTTTTTTAAATTCATATCCCCAAAAATTATTTAAAATAATGTTGAATGACCATGGTGATATTATCACTACTTCATCTAGATGTTTATGCTATTTTAATCTTCATCATAAACGAATTTGGTAACTATGGGGGTTTAAACTGCATGAATATAAACAAACCTAGACAATCTTTTACCCAAAGCACTATTGTTAGTCCTTTTTTTAATGTCAGTATGTTGGTAACAAATTAGAATCTACAGCAGTTAGGCCTACATTTATTTCTATCATTTTTAAACTCAGCTTGTCTGAATGTACCAGAACAGCTACAGTCATGGTTAGTCTTGCTGTAAACTGGGGATTAATAAGCCAGGACATTTTAGACCTTCTGTCCTACTTCTTCTTGAATAACAATACACTTTGTTACAGTTTAAGCTTACAAATGAGCAATGTGGTTAACAATGTAGCACAACCTTGTAGACCTTGTTTAAATTTTTTTTGTGATAAGACTTTCATGAAGTGCCAGATACATCTGAATGTTCTATGAAATACCTTAAATATTTAGATAGCTGAGTATTATACTGGCTCTACAATCCCTTTCTATCCCTAATTCCCCCTGATTCCCATTTTGAACCTTGGCTTGTGAGATGATACATTAAATTTTCTTCTTGTGTCCCTAGCTACCCTAGTTCCCCCTGATTCCCATGTTGAACCTTGCCTAGTGAGATGATACATTAAATTTTCTTCTTGTGTCCCTAGCTACCCTAGTTCCCCCTGATTCCCATGTTGAACCTTGCCTAGTGAGATGATACATTAAATTTTCTTCTGTTCCTAGCTGTCCCTAGCTACCCTAGTTCCCCCTGATTCCCATGTTGAACCTTGGCTTGTGAGATGATGCATTAAATTTTCTTCTTGTGTCCCTAGTTCCCCCTGATTCCCATGTTGAACCTTGCCTAGTGAGATGATACATTAAATTTTCTTCTGTTCCTAGCTGTGTCCCTAGCTACCCTAGTTCCCCCTGATTCCCATGTTGAACCTTGGCTTGTGAGATGATGCATTAAATTTTCTTCTTGTGTCCCTAGTTCCCCCTGATTCCCATGTTGAACCATGGCTTGTGAGATGATGCATTAAATTTTCTTCTTGTGTCCCTAGCTACCCTATGTCCCCCTGATTCCCATGTTGAACCATGGCTTGTGAGATGATGCATTAAATTTTCTTCTTGTGTCCCTAGCTACCCTAGTTCCCCCTGATTCCCATGTTGAACCTGACGAGTGAGATGATGCATTAAATTTTCTTCTGTTCCCAGCTGTGTCCCTAGCCATCAACAGAGACGGTTCCAGTGGAGGAATCATCCGTCTGGCTGCCATCTCTAAGGAGGGGGTGGAGAGGTTCACCCTGACTGGTGACCAGCTGCCCAAGTTCTACGAGGACAGTTAACTCATCATTTCATTCATTATGTCACACGTACATTTGATTGGTGATGACTGCGCGGCCTATTTGCTTGTTATGTTTAACTGTATTCTGTACTGAGAATTTTGATCAAGTATTTTTTAAAAATGATGTTAAAGAGTTGACATGAAATCAACTGGACAGACACATACACTACTCAGAATAAACATTGAGCAATTATATTGGCCAGTTAGTTCATTGACCTGCTTTTTTTTTTAATTTCCACCATTTGAAATGTGTTGTATAAACTTGTCATTGATGTGAGTTCCAAAACACCTCATGACTCCAATAAAGAGAGATGATTGACACTCTGTTCTGACTTGTTGTTTACTGGCTCTAGTTCAGGAAGTTGAGTTATGTGCAGGTGACAGTGGATTGCTTCCCTTGTGTCAACCTACATTTTCTGGTACTTCAACAATACATCAACTTGCAGCTGTTTACACACTGTATCTAATATTTACTTTTTTAAACACAAGCTGTTACTACTTTTATTTATTTTTATAGTAGAGGGAAATTCATTTCTTATTTGAATATCTTGTCCAATTTTTTTTTAAGCCCAAGTATATCACTAAATTATATAATCTGGCATTTTAAATACAAAACATTGGCATCAATGTAATTTGAAATATAAAAAAAACTGAAGAATTTTAATGTTGATATGGGAAAAGGACTGTTCAAATCTTGATATTTTAGCATCAGTTTCTTTAGTGTTGACAGCATTGTGTGTAAACATGTTTTTGATGATAGCAGTGTATAAAAACTCTTACTTGTTCTATTTAACTAATCATAGTAACTGTTGGTTAACAGTAACCAAACATTCATATTAAACCACACATCTTGAATGTGTTCTGGTACAGACTATAAATATAACAAAAAAAGCCCACACACACATCTTATTGAAACTGATCAGACAAGATTTAGAGTTTAGCAAAAAAACATCTCATCTTAATCTTATTGAAACTATTAAAACATGTATTCAGGCCAACCATACTTAAAACATCCACAAATGACAAAACCATAATTTCCTAGAAAGAAAAACCCCACCTATCAGGACAATGACCCTAAGCTGATGACAGTGCTATGACATGTCACTGAGAGACCATGTCAAAACTCGTGACTCAGCACATCTAGTGCAGAGGGTGACAACCTCACGGAAATTGGTTTCTAGACCAGACCATCCAAGGTCAAGGTTGTATCAGTGCCAGGGGGCTGAGAATATTCTACAGTTCCCCAAACACCATTGTATTAGAGCAGGGGTCTCCAAACTTTTCAGTCCCAGAGCCGCATTAACTATCAAATTTCAGTTCGGGGGCCAGTTTCTTCCAGGCATGTCTTTGATTTTTCTGGACAAAGTTCCTCAACCATCATCAACAAACGATTTTTCCTTGGACAAAAAGATCTCCGCTGGCCGTAGTTTGGAGACCCCTGTATTAGAGAAAAAGCCCAGATCGGGCGTTGGCCCATGGGTTTTAGATGTATTGTGTATGCTACATTAGATGATGGTCTATAATGTATACTACAAAAGCGTCAGCAGTTGCGCTAGTCCATGGGTTTCAGAGGTCGGTATATTGTGTGTGCTTCATTCATGTTGATACAGGCGAGACACATTGATGTCTCCCCCATTTCAGATGGAACAACTGGACTAAAACTGTTAGTAGATGGAGGTCTTGCCTTGGCCCTATGAAGGTGTGGTCATGACTCTATGGAGGTGTGGTTATGGTCCTATGAAGGTGTGGTCTTGGTCCTATGGAGGTGTTCTTGACTCTATGGAGGTGTGGTCTTGGTCCTATGGAGGTTGGGTTATGGTCCTATGGAGGTGTGGTCTTGACTCTATGAAGGTGTGGCCTTGGTCCTAAAGCTCACAATCAGAGGGGGGGGGGCAGTACTTTTGAATATATTCAATTAAATGTTAGTAGTTTTGTAATCACTTGAGTTCATTGAAAAACAAACTTTATAAATGACAGCCATATAAACCATTCTACACTTCGTCCCTCCTGCCATGTAGTCTAGTAGATCTAGGGCTGTGCTAGACATTGAGGAAAATGCATCTATCTTCTGTCTAAGAAAAAAGAAACGTCTACAAAAATACTTTGTCGATTCCAGAGAAAAATTGTTCCTCCGTAATTAGTACCTCTGTTGCTAATTGCGTTGCCGACTTTAGTGTAATAAATGTTTTCATGCTGTGACGTCAGAAAGGAAAACATTAGTTGTCTTGAGGCAATATCAGTAATCTTACACCAAAAGGTAACACTTATTTTACTCTATGGGTAAACATTTGTTATCTTACATTTGGGTTTTGCCATGTTATCTTACAGCTGGAGGTAGAAAAACCTATAACATTATTTTATTACGTCGTGACTAGATGTGGGTTGTAAGACAAATGTTTTATTTTTAACATGACGCTAACTAATTGCATTATAAAATATGATGAGTAATGTCAATATGCTTTATCTCTGACAAGTCAACATCATACATCAATTCTTTATTCTACGTGTTGGTCCCAATGTATAGATCTTCTGCTGGCTACTCCCCATCCCCACGTCTGCCCCCCTCCCATGTTTACTAATTAAGCCAATAAGTCTACTAATGAGAGATTGATGTCATGTAAAACTTTGTAAAAACAAAAAAGTATAACCACCAAATTTATGGATGTTGAAAAAAAAATACTTAGTTTGTTCCATTGTTTTTTTTTCTAAACAGCTTTTTTTTTAAATATGACAAGCAATCATCTTGTCAAAATTTATTTTAGCGGGACTCAAATTCTGCCTTAGAAATCTATAGTTCAGTTAAAAATTGATAATGTCGTTGAAATCTGATGAAACTAATCTTCCGGATTAGCGATTTAGGGTTCCGATTAAACTAATCTTCCGGATTAGCATCGTGGAGATTGATGGCAGCAGCATGTCGGTCTAGATTTGTGGAAATCTGATTCAGACGTTGGCCACAGAGTTTCTGGGACGATGAGGTGCCATGGCAAAGTAAAGGTGAGAACAACGGGAGCGAAAAACTTTGAGCGTGAGATCTAGATCTTAGTACAACTGCACGCAGATGAGCAGGAACTTCACACACGCAGGCACACTCTCTCACACATTTTCTCACATACACACATCACACATACACGCACAAAACGAATAGAACAAACGCTGAAGTATTTGTTTTTTTTAATACTGAAATACTCGACCTTGAACTTTGTCAATGGAAAGGGGATGTGGAGCTTATTAAAAAAAAAAAATTAAAATATCTATTTTTCCTTAAAATGTTTATATGTAGGCCAATTAGTTCATTTCTATGCTAAATAACTATATTTATATTTGAAACTATTTGTAATAATAATATGCATTAAACAACGACCTTAAAATGTTTACATGTAGGCCAATTAGTTCATTTCTATGCTAAATAACTATAATTATATTTGAAACTATTTGTAATAATAATATGCATTAAACAACGATCTTTCTAATTTTCTTTAAATTGGGTGGATGGGGGGGGGGGGGGGGGGCGGGGAAGGATAAGAAGCCTCTTCACCCTGCCCCCGCCACCCACCCATCCACCCACCCCCGAAGAAGGTCCCATCCTCCCACCCAACGAAATTGAGAAACTGCATTATTTATAATAATGAAAATGTATACCATAACCAGTGTTCACCACCGGCAATTTCAAGTGCTCCCACATCCACGGAGACAAATGTCTGAAAGAAACACTGTACTTAGTCTTTGAGAAACATCTGGAGAGAAAAAAAAAAGAATTCATAAAACTACGGGTTATTTAGACAATCTGGTGATGTTATTTTTTTTAATGATCCTTATTAAATATTAACACTCTCAACTTGTGACATTACTAGGTAGGATGTCGTCGACATGGTTAAGATTTCGTATCCCCCCCCCCCCCCCCCCCCAGCACAACCGTTTTGCATGTTCGCAATATCGTATCATCATCCCACCCTTCTCTCATTACCTTTTTATTTTATTTTTTTACTGGATAAAAGATTAATTTTTTTTTTAAATGTATGAGATTTTTTCGATTTGGTGTCACCCTCTCTCCTCCAACGGCGTCACCAGATGCGGATTGCACCCCGCCCCCGACTCTTGAAGCTACTTTTTTTTCATCTATAGCGCAAGTAAACAATTTGATGAAATAAAACCAGGTCACTTGCGCCGTTCAATAAACATAAATATTCTTATTTTTTTTTCTAACAATGCGTCAGATTTTATAATTGGAACTGTGGTGCCACAGAACTCGGTAATTAACCGCGTTAAGATCAATTCAAGAACATATTAGCTTTGACGTCATACCGTTAGCTATTTGACTGCTTGTTATTGTAGCCAAACACTTCCGGGTCATTGAAGAAAACAAAATGGCAAACCTGTTTTTAATTTTGTTTTTTGTTTTTTCATCGTGTCTACGCACTTGTATGTCATCTTAATAATGTCTTAATGCAATATCGGCAAAACAAGCAAGTCCTTGGTAATTAAGTATACCTAATAATTTTTTTCATATATAATAAAAGTGTGCGGAAATCTATCATGTTTCTCGTCTGCTACTGTCATGAACGCTCAGCAGACGATTGTACTAAGTCAGGATGATTGATTTCGTCTACACTTGGGCTGTCATTGGCTACAAAAAAAAAATCATTTTTCCAATAGAACAGTACTTATTATTGTTCTATGTGTATGCTTTAGTGTTGCTATTTATACCTCTGGGTTGAAACGTAAAAAAAATATTCTTTAAAAAAAATTGACGAGGAATCTATCTCTGTTGCTACACTGACTTAAGGTTCTATCTCTAATCACCTTACGCGTCACTTATTCCAACTGTCCAATACCCCCCCCCCCCCCACCCTCACAACCCCCACCCCAGCTTTGTAGAGAGAGAATTCCAAAATGAGAACCTTCGAATGAGAACTTGATCTATAACTAAATACAAACTCTACACGTGTGTAGGTGTAATGATTTCTTACCAGAGGCGTAACAAGGGGTGGGGCGTCAGCCCGGGGCGGCACTTTTAAATTTTGTTTATTTAACTTTATCAAACATATTTTTTTCGAGCTTTCAAATTAAGGATAATGATCAGGGAAAGTTAGGATTAAGGTTATGGCTCTGATAGAGTTTTTGGCGATATTAGCAGCAAAATTAGCACACGACCAGAATATCTTGCCGAAATTTTAAATAAGAATGTAAATATTTTTGTAAACATTTGAAAGAACCAGTGTTTCTTCCAGACTTTTTTCTGGGGGGGGGGGGGGGGGGGGGGGGCTTGAATTTTACGAGAGTGGGGGGGGGGACACTGTTAGAAGTATATAAGTATATATTTTCT